GTTTCAAAATACTATGAAATATTGTTTAGGTCACATTTTCTTTAAAATGTTTTATTATAACCTATACATTTGCAATATCCACTAGCAACCTCATGTATCTATCAGAAAGATAGAATTCATCATTTTTCCAAAAGCATGAAATGCTTAATTATCACTATATGCTCAAACCATAACTATAGTTTAACATATTTATTCTGACATAAATAATAGTATATTAATTATGAATTTTAATATATTCCCAGGTCATCATATTCTCCTGGTATCTCAAATTTACGGTAAGATCAATAAACATCAGCGGAGAAATATAAAGAACACTGCAGAGAACAATGCTATCCTGACAGAATTAATACAATTAATGTGGTGGATTTACAGATAACTTCAAATTCTTTGTTACTCTTCCCACTGAGAAACAGAATCTCAATGTTTTTCCCTTAGTGACTACAATTAATAATACTGAATTGTGTATATATTTATTCTTTTAAAGGTTATTTATTTATTTATTTTTAGACAGAGGAGAATGGAAGGAGAAAGAGAGGGACAGAAACAGTAATGTGTGGCTGCTTCTCGTGTAGCCTCCACCGGGGACCCAGCCACAACCCAGGCATGTGCCCCGACCAGGAATCGAACAGGTGACCCCCTGGTTTGCAGGCCAACAACCAATCCACTGAGGCACACCAGCCAGGGCTGAGTTTTATATATATTTAAAAGTTGCTAAGAAAGTAGATCTTAAAAGTTATCACAAGAAAAAAATTGTAACTGTGAGGCGATAGATGTTAACTAAACTTAATGTGATCATGTCACAATATACCCATGTCGAATCATCACATTATACAAATAAAACTAATATACATCAATTGTATCCCAATAAAAGATAAAGTCAGGAAGTTAATAAATAAATGCCTTTCCCTTGAATTTGGGCTAGCCTTAGTGATTTGCCTGACCAATAAATAGCAGCAGTAACTTCCAAGACAGGTCCTAGGAAGCTTGAGGTTTTCACCCAGGATGAGAGTACACATTCTCTCTGTGGATCCTGAGATGGTATAAATCTGAATATCCTGGGCTCTCCATGCTGAAAAGAACACATGATGAGACCATTCATAGAACTTGAGACTCCATGAAGAGCCAAGCCATGGCAGCACCTAGCCAACTGAGTACTGTAATCCTAGCAGAGGCTCCACACACTGGAACAGCAATGACGACTCCAACTCAGAGTCCTGCCCAAATTGCAGATTTATGAGCAAAATAGAAGACTGTTGTTTTAAGCCACTAAGTTTTGAGGAAGTTTGTTAGGTACCAACACATAACCACTATTACATAATGTTTCCAAATCACTGTCTAACAATAAGAGGGAATTATCCAATCAATCTCTCTGTCTGACGTGGGAATGAGGAGAGTGAACCCCTAACAGGCTCAGTTAGGATGTGAAGCAAATCAGTCATCCAATTATTACAAATCCACAGACCTGAACATAAAAGCTGTTAAGTCCATGCTGTCATTGATGATTTTGGTATAGTAAAGAAACACTATAAACTTGAACACAGAGAAGGAAAATATCCGTACAAATTACCCTTACTGCTCTGAGAACAAGCTCTGGTTCTATATACATACTTTCTAGTATTGCTGCAAGGTGAGACTAGGTTAAAGAACAGCATCCAAATAGATCTCTGTTATTTGTTACAGGCTAGTCCTTAAACTTTTCGAAGAGCATATACTCTTAATGAAAGCTAAGGGCCCTTTCTCCCCCCCCCCCAAAAAAAAAACAGTGTACAAACACTCACAAAACACTCTACACAATTTCATTGTATTTTCAACCTTTTAGGGTCCATGAACCTTGAGTTTAGAACCTGTTTTAGAGGGTTATTCAATAATGGCCCAAAAATCCACTGCATAATGCTGGAATTGTTAGAATTATAACAAAGTGTTTCACTAAAATTCCAAAAATAATTATTTCATTAATCAATGGAGATCCCAGCAATTTAAGTCCTGTGTGAATTTACTGTCGTCTATCAGGGGTGTCCCACCTTCTAGCACCTCTGGCCTGCACTGGAAGTTGTGTTGGGCTATACATTAAATACATTGCAACACGTAATCACAAAAAAGTCTCATAATGTTTTAAGTAAATTTATGATTTTGTGTTGGGCCACATTCTTAGTCATCCTGGGCCTCATGTTGGACACCCCTGGATTTAACCTCAAATCATTACTCAAGTTCAGTATCTTAGCACCAAGCAATAACCTCCTGTGGGTGGTTAATACATTGTTCTAATAAAACTTTTTTTAAATAAAGATTGCCTTTTGGGGACAATGATTCAGTCTCACACCGCTGATATTGTACAGTAGTAACTTGGGATTCTTACTCCCTTTTCATAAGCCTCTTAAGGTTAAGAGTTCAGCTTCCTACCTCCTTAAATCTTTAGCACCCAACATGACATTGTACTGGGTTCCAATTATCAACAATAATGCTGGCCTATCAGACTAAAACAATGCTTCTTAAACTTTCTGGTCTCAGGACTTTTACACTCCTAAAAATTATTTAGAACCCCATAAAATTTTTGTCAGGTTAATTATACCTGTTGAGGTTTATAGAATTAGACATTGAAATTGAAAAATGTTTTACTGGTAATAGTAATTCATTTAAAAATAACATTAAATCCATCATATATAAGCAAATAGACTTTTTAAATTTTTTTAAAAGATTTTATTTATTTATTTTTAGAGAGCAAGGGAAGGAGAAAGAGAGGGAGAGAAACATCTATGTGCAAGAGACATCAATGTCTTGTGACTCTCACAAGCCCCCAAATGGGGACCCAGCCTGCAAACAAGGTATGTGCCCTGACTAGGAATGGAACCAGCGACCTGTGGGTGTGCAGGTCAGTGCTCAATCCACTGAGCCACACCAGCCAGGGCAGCAAATAGCTTTTATTAGTTTTCAAGGCCCCGGCCAGGTAGCTCAGTTGGCCAGAGGGTTGTCCCCATAAGCCAAGGTTGTGGTTCAATCCTGGGTCAGGGCACTTACAAGAAACAACCAATAAATGCTTAAATAAGATAAACGACAAATCAATGTTTCTCTCTCCCCTTCCCTTTCTTCCTCTCTGTCTCTAAAATCAATTTTAAAAATTTATTTTCAAAACAAAACTAGTGAGGAGTGACACTATTCAGCATTTTTTCTAATTGTTTTAATGTCTGGATTAATAGAAAGGAGCTAGCTTTTCACATCTGTTTCTACATTTCAATCTGTTGTGATAACACAGGTCATGTTAGTCTTTAGAAAACTCCACTGAACACTCATGAAAGAATCAAAGTGAAAAAGACAGTGTCCCTAGTATTATCATGAAAATAATTTTGGCCTTGAGGACCCCTGGAAAAGAATCTACAGACCCTCTGGCCTAAGGCCACCTGTTTTAAGTGCCTTAGGTCCTTTATTTCTTCATGCCTTTCTTAAATGACCAGAAGTAAAAGTGGAGCAATAAATTCTACAGTTTATAATTCCTTCTATATACTGCTCTTTCACCCAACTAGTAAATTTCAATATGCTTCCTAGCCACTTCTGAGCATCAAAATAAAAGGGTGATGAAACTAAACATTTACACCTGTTCTCTCCTCCCTGGCAACCAAGTAAACAACTATCTAGGGAGATACTTATAATGCCATTCCCATACCAACTTGGGAATTACTCTAGACTGTTAGTAATAAGATCCACCCAAAACTATTCTAGATTATAGTTAGGCTTTAAGAATGTAAATATACATTTTGCACAACAGCACAAATCCACAAAACTCTCACTTGCTATGGCCAAAAGATACAAAACTGAACCTGGGTTATAAGCCCAGGAAGTGTGTTAAATGTAAGAGTTCAAGTACACCATGCCCACTAAATGAAAAAGAGTTTCCTAGATAACTATCATTAAACAAGCAAAAGGTCCAAAAATACTTTAAAAAGTCAAAGTCGCCTTAGCAAACAAAACGGAAGGACAGACCAAAATACAAAACAAAACCTTATTAATTAAAAAACTAGCCATAACCGTGGTTAACTAGAAAAGGATGAAGAAAAACTTACCAAAAACAATAGGACTCTCCTGAATGAGTGCAAATCTCAAGAATATTCTTAGTATTAACATTGAGATGGAGCACTTTGCCGTAACAGGCAGCTTTCGGCGAATGTTCTGCAACTGCTCTATATGCACGAAGCTTTCCTATCTTTTCCTCTAAAATATCAGTCATCTTCAGGTTAATGCCCAGAGGAAATGTTTTCTTTTGTTCAAGTAGTTTGTTCTACTTTGTTTCTTGATTATTCCGAGTGCTGTCTTATAACTGGAGGGTTGCTGAACCAATCCCGAGTAAGAAATGGAAAAGCACAAGAAAAGAGGCGACAGCTCTGCACCACCACACGGAAAAAGACTCAGAAAAGAGCAGCGGCGGCCCGGCCCCTGGCTGCAGTTCGAACGGAAAGAACAGCTTTCTAGGTTCCCAGCAACACCCGACAACGTCTCCCTCCCCCGCCCCCACGTCCCTACTCCGGGACTAGCCAAAGACCGAGAACCAAAAAAGTGGAGTCTACACGCTCTTAAGGGCCACGGAGCCTCCCAGGCAGAGGTTCTCTCCCGTTACATAACTGGGGCCTAGGGCCATGCTTCTGCAATCAGTCCTTTAAAGAGGGAGGCGGACGGGTTCTCCAGAGACTCACCCTCCCAGGGAGGTAGAAGCTGAGTTCTGCAAGGGGGACGACTTAAGGGAGGCCGCGACCAGAAGCGCTGGGACACAGAGGGTGGTAAGCGAGCCCGGAGAGGGACAGGACGGCTCCCAGAGATCCGCGGGAGGTCCCGCCGCCTCCGGCCCTAGTCCACCCCGCTCCCTCGCCGGCCGACTCCCCACCGGCCACCCCCCGCCAAAGTCGCCGCTCCCCTCCCCCGCGCCTCCATCCCCACCAGCCCCAGCCCAGCGGCAGGCGGACCTGCCAAATAAGGCCTTGGCCACCGCCATCGGATGGCTCCCAGTGCAGTACCTGGTCAGACATGGTGATGGTGGCTTCACCCGGGGTCTCCGCACAGCAGCGGTCTCGGATAGGCAAAAACCTCGCTCCGGGGTTTACAAATCCGTCTCTCTTCCCCACAGCACAACACCGCGTCTGGAGGGACTTCCGCTATGTCTCGCGTCACTTCCGCTACGCTCTGGGAGCGGGGATAGGGAACAGAGGAGAGGCGAGGCGGGAAAACGGGGCGGGGCGTGGGCCGTACCCCGGGGCCAGATGGTTCGGGAGCAGCTTTGCGGTGGTCGCGTGAGTGAATTAACAACAGTCTCGTCTGCTCTACGAAAAACTAGGCCCTGCGCCTCGATCCCGAGCCCATCCGCTAGGGTAAAAGTTCCCGGTCCCCAGTCTCTCCGTTTGGCACTGTTCTGACAGCCCAGGCTCCTCCCTCTCCGACACCTTGCGCGTTTCTGAAGGCTGAGCCGAGATACTTCTATTGTCTCCCGGCCTTGCTCGTCAACCTGTGGAAATAAATTGAGTTGGATACCAGCGTTTCTTACCCTAGAGGTAACATTTTTGGTTAACCAGCTGCCCCCTCTCCAAACACATGACCTTGATGGGGGGGGAGGAGAGAAAGCAAAAGAAAACAACGGCCCCATTGGACACATCTTAGTGGCTACTGTTAAAAAAAAAAAGAGGCTGCTGAGAAGTTTTGAACTGATTGGGGGTAAGGAGCTAATTCCGATCCTTGAATTCGTTGCTTTGAGTTAAAGAATGATCTTTCTATGATTTCTTTTTTAAAACACAATGTCCCTACTAGTGTAAGCATAGAGGATAAAAATACAGACAAATGAAATAGAATAGAGATTTGGAAATAAATCAATAAGCCCTCAAACATCAATTTTCGACAAGAATCCCAACACAAATGGTGAAGGAAATCTTGCAACATACATTGCTGGACAACTGGATATCCACATGCAAAATAATGAATTTGGATCGCTATCACAGAACTTACGAAAAATTAGCTTAAAATGAATCAAAGACCTAAATGTAATAACTAAAACTATAAGCTCTTAGGAGAATACAGAGGCGTAATTCTTCCTGACCTTAGATTAAGGGGTGGCTTTTAGATGTGACACAAGCAACCAAATTAAAATAAATTAGACATCATCAGAATTAAAAACTTTTGTCTTTTGTGTTGAAGAGACAATCTAAAGTAATGGAGAAAATATTCGCAAATATATCTGTAAAGGTCTAATATTCAGAATACATAAACAACCACTACAATTCAATAATTAAAAGATAAATCCAATTTTAAAATTGACAGATAATCTCAATAACCATTTCTTCAAAGAGATACAAATGAACAAATGGACATTTGAATGCTTAACATCATTAGCGATCAGAGAAATGTAAATTAAAACTACAATGAGATGCCACTGCACATCCACTAGGATATCTATAATTGAAAAGACAATTGATAACAAGAAGTGTTGACAAAGGTATGGAGAAATTAGAACCCCCATATGCTACTTAGAATATAAATGCTTTGGAAAACATTCTGGCAGTTTCACAAACCATTACCATAAAATTAGCATGACCCAACAATGCTCCTCCTAGATACACACCCAAGAGAATTAATGACATATGTCCACTCAAGAACATGTATTCAAATATTCACAGCAGCATTGTTTATTATAGAAAAAAAGTGGGGGGAAAACCAAGTGTCTATCAACCGACTAATGGAAAAGTAAAAGTGGTATATCCATACAGTGGAATATAATTAGTCTATAAAAAGGGAAGAAGTACTCATACAATGTGGACAAAACCAGAAAACATGCTAAGTGAAAAGAGCCAGTCATAAAGTATCATTCCATCCATATGACACATCCAGAATAGGCAAATCCATAGAGACAGAAAATCGATCAGTAGGCTACTGCTCCAGCCTTCTGCTAGGGCTGGGGAGTTAGGTGGGAAATAGAGAGTAGCTACTAAGAGGCATGGGTTTTCTTGTGGGAGTGATGACATGCTCTAAAATCGATTGTGATGATGGTTGCAGAGCTCTGTGATTATACCGAAAAACTAAAAATTGTGCATTTTATAATGGTGAACTGTATGATATGTTAAATGTATCTCAGTAAAACTCATATAAAAGAATAAAATATAATGGCCCTGAGAAGAGCTGCTAATAATAAATAAGGTATTATTAATGGAGCATGTAGGACACTCTCATCTAACCAGGATGGCCATGAAAAGCTTTCCAAAAAAATAATATCTAAACTGAAATCCAAAGGGTAAGTTGGAATCAGCTAGAGCAACAGTTCCTAAACATTTTGGTCCTAGGACTCCTTTAAACTTTTAAAAATTACTGAAGACCCCAAAGAGCTTTTGTTTTTGTGTTACTTCTATTTATATTTAACATATTAGAAATTAAAACTGAGAAAAAAATGTTTAATCCTCACCCAAAACTATGTTTACTGATTTTAGAGAGAGGGGAAGGAAGAGGGAGAGACAGAGAAACTTCAGTGTGAGAAAGAAAATTCAGTTGTTTGCCTCCCTGGCGACCAGATGGAACCTGCAGCCCTGTGGTATGAGGGATTCTGCTCCAACCATCTGAACCACCCAGCCAGGGCAACACTGAGAAAAAAAATTTTTTAATATGTATTAATTTGTTAAAAAATAATAAGGCCTTGATGTGCATAAATAACGTATTTTTATAAAAAATGACCATGTTTTCCAAATCCAAAAAAAAAAAATAACCAACACTTGAATGGCAGTGTTGTTTGTTTTTGCAAATGTCTTAAATTTTTTAACGCCTGACTTGTTAAAAGACAGCAGGGTAGTTGTATCTACTTTATTCAATAGTTGCCATATTTGTAATAATTTGTTTATGTAAAGCAAATCCAGCCTCATACAGATACATAATCTGGGCGGGGAAAGGACTGTTTTAATAGCTTTTTCAGATAATTGTGAATATTTTCTTTCATAGCACACCCAAACTCAACAAGTGGTAGTTTTTGAATGGAAACGCGGAACTTGAAACCATTTCTATGAACTTTTTGTCCTGTATTACATTAAAAATCCATCGATCTATCTTGCGCTTTAGACAGACATTTTACCCATGCATAATTTTGTAACATCATGCCTTATTCATTTAGAAAACATTGATTCACTGAGTTACACAGATCTAAATGTTGACACATTTCATTCCACGATATCTAAAAATCTTATTCATTATTTTCACAGATTCATCAGAAAAAGTCTTTAAGTATTTGGAAACTTTCAAACTCACAGTGATAAATACAAGTTTTCCAAAGTGCTAAATTTAGTGTAAAAGCTCGAATTTGATCATTGACAACAAATATCAGTTGTTTTCTTTGTGTTAGTTTCTTACTCATTTTTTGAGAAACTGCTATATTTCAAGTCTGAATAATCATTATTGATCTATCATTTGTTCTGTCACATAAAAAATGATGTTCCAGCCCTGGCCAGGTAGCCTTGATCTCTGGTCAAGGCACATACAAAAATCAACCAATGAACGCAAATAAGTGAAACAACAAATCAATGTTTCTCTCTCTCCCTCTTTCCTCCCCCTTCCCTCTCTTTCTCTCTCAAAAACAAACAAGCAAACAGATAAATAAATAAAACTTTGTTAAAATATTGACTGAAGTCGAAGTAAATTTTTCTGAAAATCAAAAGGGAAAAACCCATTGAAATGAAAAGAATAGGTGAATTTATCAAGTATTTATTAAATGGAAGTTATTATTAAATAAAATATTTAAGTCTCTATATCTCATAAAGTTGCTCTTCAAAGTTGCAACATAGCGTAATATATCTTATTTTTCTTCTTAAAAAAACAGTTCAATGCAAACTGTATATGAAATTAATGGTTTATCCATTAGTGAAGAATTATGTCAAGGACAATAATTACTGATTTTAATAATTAGCATTTCTCCTGCCCTCTCTACCCATTAGAGACATATTCTCAGGACAAAAAGCACAATCTTAAATGAGTTTAATGTTAATAATGTTAGTTTTGTTATTCTGAAACTATTACATGTCATATATAGAGTAAAGCATATAAATACAGGGTGGACAAAAGTAGGTTTACAGTCATGAGTACTCTAAACACAGAGTTTATTCCTTTATTCAGTTTTTTCCTCCTTTTTTTCTTATTTTCTCAATCCTTCCACCCCCCCCGAGTTTATTGTATTATTATTTATTAATTATTGTATTATTTTCTGTACAAACAACTGTAAACCTACTTTTGCCCCACCCTGTATTTTCTCTCTTACAGTCTGTAGTAAAATCAATGAGAGGCCCCTTTTTATTTCTAATATTGTTTGTACCTTCTCTATTTTTTATTGAACGGTCTCATCAAAGGTATATTAATTTTATTCATCATTTCAAAAAACAGCTTTTGGATTTCTTGATCCTCTCTATTGTAGGTTTAATTGTATTTTATTTCTGCTTTTATCCTATTTCCTTCCTTCTGCTTTCTTTGGATTTAATTTGCTCTGTTATCACTAGCTTCTTGAGATTAATACTGAGATAATGGATTTTTAGCTTTTCTTTTTTCTAATTAACATCTTTTTAAAGTTAAGTGTTTCACTTGAAACACAGCTTCAGCTTTGTCCTACAAAGTTTTACACTATGTATTGATGTTTTCAGTATTAATTCAAAATATTTTCTAATGTTTAATTTCTCCCTTATCATGGATTATTTAGAAGTTTATACCTTAATTTCAAAATGCATGGAAATTTTCTGTATATCTTTTTGTTATTGTGTCTAGCTTAATTTCATTGTGGCCAGAGAACATACTCCATATGATTTCAGTGCTTTGCAATTTGCTGAGAATTAATTAAAGGCCTCACATGTGGTCAGTTTTGGTAAGTGATACACATGTACTTGAGAAAAAAATGAATACTTTTCAGCTGAACTCCAGTTTTTGTCTTTGTTTAGCATCCATCTTTGTCACTGCTTTCTTTTCAGTTTCTCAGCCTCTTAGGCATCACTTTTGAGTCAGTAAATTTCACAAAGTGAAAAATGGCACCGAAGTAGGGCTTACCTTTCTTTAGTTCTTAGATCTCTTTATTCCATACATCTCTAAATAAAAAGAGACCCATATCTAAACATACTGAAAAGATGTCCCTATAAGCTTCTCTGATGTAGAGACTACTGCATATTA